AGTGACACAATCCACCATAAATTGATGCAGAAAACACACAAATACAAAATTCCTAAGACCCATGCTTCATTTTTTTCCACTATATGTGAATTGTGAGCTGGTGCCAGAATGTTGTGTCGTCTCTGATTGTAACGACATTTCCACATAAACGGATGCAGAAAAGGCACAAATCAGTGCGTAAAAACTCACCTGAATGCAGCAATTTAAGCGCTTGATGCTCAAAGATATTCAACCTTAACCCTCACACATGCTATATTACATTTCCTTACATTATATTAGTCATTTTGTTAGAAGTAAACCCCGCTTCATTGGCAAGCAAAGAGATAAAGAGACTTTATTGTCATTGTGCAGGAGTACAACGAAACTTGTGTGGAAGAACACGACAATAGCAGCAAGAAATAAAAATAATTTAAACAAAGTACTATATACACAAAGCATTATAAGCAAAGTGCAAGCCCCCATATTTTTGAAAAGAAAATGTAAGAGATGCAGTATTGCAGCAGCTGAAACATTCCTGCTGCATTTAAAGCAGTCATTTTGTGCAGTAATGATGTTACCGTAACACCAGTAGCATGAACCGTGTGTTTATTAGTGCATCACTCCCAGACACCCACATGGCGGCAGCATTGCACAGAGGTTTACCCGTTAAAAGCTTCTGGTGTTGGAATTTTTAAAAAAAAGGCAGTTTAAAAGCCAAATTTGCATTTTCCACTGCATTTTATTTCTAATTTCCAACATGGCTCCCTTTATGACTTTATATTTAGATAATAAACTTGCCACTTAAATTTTATGATACCGTAATACACTCTTAATCTTGATCTTGTTTAAATTGCTTTATGTCTGTATTTCTGTAAAGCGTTCTAGTCAGGATGCTCTTGTAAAAGAAATCTCAATGAGCCTTTTTTTCTGGTTGAATAAGAATGAATGCTTTAAAAAAAAAAAAGTTATTTCCTACTGTATGATGGCACTGTGTGGTTGTGTAGGAGTACAGTGCAAAATAGGCCAACATGCTGAATGATTTAAGCTGATTTATTTACATTCAGACCAGCATTTATCATCGGCAGGCTTGCAAAATGCTGTCATACCAAAGGTGTATGGAAAGCTACTTGAGGATTCACTGGGGTGCTGTTCTGCAGCTGCCAGAGTTTTCTCCCTTTTTTTTTCTTTCTTCCAGAGGAAATCCATATACCTTACATTTGTCTTAATGAATTCTGCAAGCTAGCAATCTGCTCTCTTCCGGTGACTCATGCTGCTCCTGGACCAACGCTGTGCAGACTCCAGCTCTGACCTGGAACACTGTGTTCACCTGGCTTTTATTACTTTACTCTGCCGCCATACACTGTGCCGTATTCTATAGGTAGAGTACAGTTCTCATACAGCCGGGCCTTGATTCGTCTTCGTACGATGCACAACATGTGCAGATGTAATGATCTGTAACTGTGCGCTCGTGGGAATTAAAAGTATTTGCATAGATATTAATATGGTGGAAAGTATCACCATGGAAATAAACCCACAGTTCAGTGGAATACTCCATTACTTTGTGCAAATTATAACGTTTTTTCTCTTTGCTTGACTCGGTTAGAAATGGTTTAGCTACATGTTCAGCAATCTGTGTGGTTACAGGATTAGCTGGGTTACAGTTTTTGTCGTGCAACAGAAAAAAAAAAAGTTGTTCCAGTTCGGTATCATGCCGTCTCAGATTGACTTTTTGTGGTTTGTGATGTTGTCACAAGATGCCTCGTCAGGATGAAGATAGAAACAGATTCGGTGTTTCTGCATGTCATCGCCGGCTGACATGTGTAATCAAAGGGGATGAACACATGCTGCGCCGCTGAAAGAACAAAAGGTCAAACAGTCATTTCAGAAACATGCCATTTTAATCTACTTTCAGCAGTGATATCGGTTGACTTTTCACATGACTCCGGGGCAGGGACGTGCACGGGCAAATTGAGCGGTTGTTGCTCTAACCAAGTATTTGATTTTACACTCATGTCTCAGTGAATGAGCACAAGTGAAAGCCTGGATTACATCAATAAACTAGGAGGCAATAATATCAAGATATAATATTCAGTGTGTTTATCGTTGAGATATTCGTTTAATATTCTTCCAAATGTTAAAAAATGCTTCTGAGAAAACAGGCCTGTTTCACATTAATCAGATATGTAGGACACAGTTGCTTGATGTTTCAATCATGATGCTTCACTTCCTCATTGTTTAAATCCAGCTTTGCAAAGTTGGACGCCCTTTGTTGAAGTCTCCTTGTTGTTGAACATGACAAGTTGTCCTCCTTTAAGGAAAAACAAGGCGATCTCTATCAGCTACATTCGCTCGTTGGTTGAGAATTCGTCACCACCTGATTGAAGCATGTTCAAAAACAACAGGCTGCGTTCCACTGCAGGAACTTGCAATCTGGTTTAAGGCGACCAGAACCTTTGAGAACCGTCCTATTGCAAGTACCTCCCCTGTAGAACCTCCTTCTGGGCTGTTTATTGGGAAGGAAAAGGATGAAGTTTGGTAGGTTTTTCTGAGCAGCTCTGAAAAACTTCTCCGCAAGACTCAAAACCATTTTTCCATCATCTTGATGTTCTTGCTCAGTAACTGCCTTCTCCTCCTTGACATCGTGATCGACTACATCACATTTGTCATACAGGCCTACAAAATAAACCATTTGAAAGTTCCTACGTAGAACTGGAGTCACATCCATTAACTATTACTTGTCATTGTCTCGGCGCACTAAGAGTTCACGTGCTAGTGGATGGATTCTACGGAAACAGAAACCCTGAAAGAACTGATAATGGGACACCTTTACCTAAGTGCCTGCATTGGAAAATATTGTGCTGTATGAGGAGGTTTTTTTTGGATGACCACAAATAAAACATACCCAGAACCCTCATATGCTGTGGACCAAGTTTGGATGCTATAGTGGCACATACCTGGGCATTTGGTTTAACCTTTGCAGCGCTCCACTACTGTTTTTATAATAGGCTTTACCTTTGTAGCACCTCTCAAAAACACAATTACGATAAAAGCTTATAATAAATAGCCAAAACTTAAGATATTAACAAGCTTTAGTTATTTAAATGAACATCTGTTAAGAAGAACTCGTACCATCTTGGGTTCCACAGCTGAGGGGTCCAGACACCTTTGGTGACAACAATGAGAATAAGGAACCAGTAGAAAGGCCCTGTTTGAGGATCTCCAACAACAATCAGGCTCATAGGGAGTTATCAGATTGCAGATACAGACAGGAGACAGATCGTTCAAAGCTTTAAAAACAAGCACTGACATCTTAGAATCTTCAAGGGCAGCGAGGTTTGGTGTAATGTGGTCACCTCCCATAGTACTTGTTTAAAGCCTGGCAGCAGCGTTTTGTGTCAGCTTCAGTCTCGGGATGCTTCGCCTGCTGGTACCACGGTAAAGTGCACCGCAATAGTCGAGATAAAAGCACAGATGACCTTTTCTAAGTCTGCAGAAGAAAGGAACGATCTGATCTCGGTTAGTCGTCTCAGCTGGGCGAAGCAGGACTGTAAATACTTAGTCAACTGAGAATCAAAGGACAAATCAGAGTCAAAGATAACATGGAGGCTTCTTTGCAAACGCTATTTGATAAAGCATCAAGACCAGAGGAGAAGTTATTGTTAGGGCTGCGGCCACAGCTGTAGTTATCATTAGTCCTGATTTGGAGTCATTCAGTTAGACGCATTCTTTGGAAATCCTGGTTTTTAACCTTCTAAACCCCAAAACCAAAAAGGTTAGAAAGGCATAAAACTGTAAATAGAGAGAGAATCATCATATTTTGAACTACTATTTTGAGCTACTTATCTGTGATGTTCTGCTGCGTTGGGAAACTTCACCAAATATCATCTCATTTTATTATTATCATTCATCAAAATCTCTTTATTCGGTTCGTGCACATTTGTAATCCTCGATAGCTGTTTATCTTCTTCATAACACAAATATGTAGATGTGTACGTGTTTGTCACATCACACTTTTTTAAAGCTATTTTTTTGGCCTTTTTGCTTTTATTGTATAGGACAGTCCAAAGAGAGACAGGAAAGTGGAGGAGGAGGAGATTAGGGGAAGGGGTTGCAGCAAAGGACCATAAGCGGGATTCAAACCCATGGACCCACTCATGAACCCAGCTCAACCAGGTGAGCTAAAGCAGCGGCCTGCAATTCATATTTTTTTTTAGCAAGTTGAGTTTGATTAGTTAAGGTTTACATGTATCAAAGAATACTCAAGTATTGTGTATGACTGTGTGTGATGTATTCAGGTGTAACTGAAATAACACCTACAGTTTTGCCAAAAATAAGTTTCTTTTTGGCTGAACTGCAGCCAGTGTTTACACACACTGGACAGGAGGAACTAAAAGTAGAAGCAGTAAAGTATCTGCAAATATATATTTTTTATTCTTATGATAACAACTGTAGATTCTTCCAGGTTTTAAGTAGTCAAAGAAATTTCAACTTTTGGTTTTACATATTTATGATTTATTGCATGATAGCCTTATTATATTGCATAAAAGACATGTCTGAGTTCTCTCTACTTCTAGCCATGGTTGTTCTGTTTCCATAGAGGTGCAGGACTTTATGTTGCAGAGAAAAATGAGCCCACAGTGAGGAAGAATGTCACAAGAGCAAAAAACTCCCAGAACCTGCTTGGGATTCAGAGGGTTAATCTCAGCCAAGCAGGACACGATAAGGGATGCATTTCTGCAGCCATAACAACAAAAACACCACAATTATTATTATTATTTTTGCGTCACAGGGGGAGCTCAGCCAAAAAGGGTAAATGGGCTGTTGTTCGGGCAACTTTAGTCGGCCTTGTGCACGTCTTGGCTCCGGGGCATTTAGTGTTATTGAAAGGTGCACAGGATGTCAGGTAACAAAAGTCGGGGTTTCAGATGTTGCCGGTCCCTGGCGTGCCTAATAGCCAGCTGTATCGCCAGGCCTTCCAGTAACAAATTAAATTCCCACAGATACATCATCGGGTTGTCAGTGACGAAGACGAAGCGCAAATGCTTGCTGAAAGGTGATGGGCTCAGCAAGCAAAACATTCTGCCGACTCCGGGCCGTGTTTGCTCTGCTCTGGGTAGACTCCTCCACACAACCGAAAATATCAGTGCTCGCATTCCACAGCGCACAAACAACACGACAAAATGTGCACTGTGTGAGAGGAAAAGCAAAGCCAAGGGCGATTTTAATTTGAGGCTACAGAGCACACACACTGTAAAGGAGAAGAAGAAAAAAAAAAACACACAGCAGAATTCAGTAGTTTGACGGTGATGGTTGTGTCTGGGCTCAGTTTGTGTGCTGGATCGCACAAACACTTTAATTTGGATGCAGCAGGGGTAAGTCAGTCAGCCGGTGTCCTTGCAGGACCTCTCTGCAGCTCCTTTACAGGGCTGACTCATAATCTCAGCAGATGAACTGAACCAGTGATGGTAAACACTAGCAGAGTACATGGAAGTGTGGACACTGGTGGTCCAAGAATAACCGCAGCATTCTCTTTGTGCTCGCCCATATCACCACACAGCTGCTGCCAGACCAATCACAAACCAGTCAGTATTCTGCGGCGTCGCTCTCTTCCCCTCCAGTCAGTCAACTCCGTTAACAGAAAACATATTTCACGACTTGTGTTTCGACAGATACTGTTTTGTCAATGGCATGTTCCTGCTTTTTAATTTTTTTTCTTATTATTATTGATTCTATGCAAATTTGCAGAGCGTTTTCAGTTGTTTCAGTAAATGAACATGATTCTCCACCCATGTTTATGTAAGGATGAAGTTGGTCAGGAGTCAAATATTGTACATGTTTGTGCAGTCCTGTCAAGGCCAAGGTTGCTTTGCCAGGATACACACAGAACACCAGGCCTGTCTATGGTGCTCGCGTAACACTTCAACCTAACACCCTTCCCCTTTTCCCCTCTCTTTTCCTTTGTAACTGGCTTGGAGCCACACCGCATTTAGCTGGGCCAGAATACTGCTGGAACCTCTAAAACCTCAATGAGACATCAGGACATAAGCAGCCAGTGATGCACAAAAATTGCAGAAGAGTCTCCGTGCCATAATGTGGAAATGTGCTTTTTCGTGGCCAAGAATGATGAGAAGTTAAAGCTTGTACTGAAGGACACAGCTTCACGTCAAATATGAGCAGAGACAGGCAAAACGTTTTAATCATGCTCAAATCGTGACCCCAGGCACGGCATTGTCTGTCTGTTGGTGAACATCCAGGGGTGAAAAATCATTTTTGCAATTCCACGAACGTCCACTGAGGCTGCCTCCAGAAGCGAGTTCATCACCATAGTCGTCCATGTTTTACAGCAGAAATACATGTGTTTACAGCCTGGTGCAAACAACTGTTATGGTCTATATAGATCACTTCCCCCTTTTTGACAACTGTACTGGAAGTTAACTTTTAGATACCTCACCTGCTGACATTTTATGAAGGCTTAAATTTATGCCTATTTAAGGGTGTGGTTGCCTTGACTGACAGATGGGTTCCTTTCATCGGACAGTCCATGAGCCCTCCAGTTTTTGGATTGACTTTAAGTTAGAAGGAGTCAGACGCTGCAAAGATAGTGACACTTAATGCCACCACAGTGAGCTTCAAAACTGCTCAGAAGGAAACTTACCATTTTTATCTAAAATCAGTGGGTCCAAATTTAAATTTAGGATAGGCCTCCTGTTCAACCCTTTCAGATTTCCATTTTGGTGTAGGATCCACCAGCTCTGGTGGTGACAACAACAAATAATAGCTATTGGATGTAACTCCAGTTCTATGAGCGTGTAGGAAACAGAACAATGGAGATTTGTTATGTTAGCCTGTGTGGTGAATTTTACATGGCAGTTTTCCAAAGCTGTTCAGAAGAACCCACCCTGGAGTTGGTACTTCTTTCACCAAAAAATGCCCCTAAAAGAGGTTGTGATTGTGATTGGAACATCCTCAAAGGTTCCACAAAGAGCCCACAAGTTCCTGCAATGGAAAAATGTCTTATTTTGCTGCTTCATTCGAATTGTGATTTTCAACCAACAAGCAGATGTAGCAGATCGATATTTTATTTTTCTTACAACGTTCAAACTGGTCAAAATGTGATGCATGCTTTTAAATGTAATCCAATCAGCATTTTATTCTCCGGTTTATCAGTGTCGAGGCTCACACAAGTTTTTAGTGGCCACTCAGAAGAACCTACAATTTCGTCTCCCCTGAAAACAGCCCTGAAAAAGATTCTACAGGGGCGGTGCTCAAAGCAAAGGTTCGACCCGCAAGTTCCTGCAGTAAAAACAGCCGAATCACAGTAGTGTTTAACCCAAAGCACATCCTCCCAGAGCCACCAGCATGTCTGCAGACTGTTGTGGTGTTGTTGTAAACTTCCCCCTGCAGTGTACTGTAACAAACAAACTCACCTACATGAAATAAATATAGAGCAAAAAATAACCTATGAATGGTATCTGTCCTCGCCGCCTTGAATAGGCTCCGTTTCACCAAACAGAGATGTTTTTCTTCTTGCGCTCGCCTGGTTTGGGAAATACTTTCCTTTCATTGATGAAAAGATATACGGCATTCAGAGATGAAATTACTTTCCAAATGGCCTCTGACTCACCATCTCTATTCCCAGTGCTCTCTCGCTCTCACCCTCCCTCCCTCCCAGCCTCCCTCCCTCACCCCACTCTCCACCTTCACTTGTCCTTGTGAATGTTCTACCCTATTGTAACTGTATACAGCACTTAGCACTTCAGACGGCAGACAAACCAGCTCAAGGACAACTGCCCACTCTTGCGATGCTCATAAATAGACTATTTGTCCAGGCTTACCAATCACCTTACCCACCGAGCCTGTGTGGGTGCTTGTGGACATTGTGCAGCTCGTACCGAAATAGATCTCCACTGCTGCTGTGTGAGGGTGGATTCGGGCCTCCAGCCTGCAGTGAGAAGAGACCAGTTTACACGGGAGGGAAAAAAAAAACAAAACAAAACAAAACCAAAAAAAAAACCAAACTGTTGATTGTTGAAAATTAACAGCAGTGACTCACAAAGTCTATCCCTTTTATAACGTGCGATGTTATCATCCGTTTGCAATCTGCAGCACGCTAAAACAGGTGGTGTCACCTCCGCAGAGTTTCCCAGAATGCAACGCTCCCCCCGACCGTGTGGGACATGACCGTCAGCACATTCCTGGAGAGCTCTGGATCCCCAGAAGCAACAATTCCTCCTTCCTCTCTTCCCTCCTCCTCCCTTTCCTTCCTGCCGCCCTCGTGTCTTCTCCTTTGCTTCCGCGGATTGCATCACTCGTCTGCCTCCTGGCCTCCTCTGCTCGGACCCTTTAATCACATATGGCACACAAAGCGCAGACACACACACACCCACTGTGGGCAGAAGGCACCCTCGTCAGTCCTCGCACCGGTTTTTGTGGCTTCAGTTGGAATTTTATGGTTGGTTTGAGCGGAGGATTCTGGAGGTTTTCCAGCTGCCCTCCAAAGACTCGGCTTCCCCCTCCTTTCCCTTCTTTCTCTCCCTTCCATCTCTTTGTTCCTTCCCTTCAGCTTTCCTCTCTTTTTTCCTCCCTCCCTCCCTCCCCGCTTCACCCACTTGCCCTCAAGGTCAGAAATATCCTGTGGTTTAGGTTTGATCCCCTTGGATATGCTCTCTCTCCCGTCTCTCTGCCTCTCCCTTCCTCTCCGTCTTGCTTGTGCTTGCTCAGACGCACACACACATTTACTGTAAGCGTACTACACTACGCTAAGCATTCCCACACAGGAAATACATGGTGGGATCAGCATAGGCGGGTTCCGTGTGCTTTGCAACAGCCCCTCTCATCAGGGGTCAGCAGACTATCCGGGATGTAGCGCTCGGGGAAAAGGAAAAAATATTCATAGTCCGGAGCCGAAGTCGTCATCACGGAAGATTATCTGAAGTCCGCCGGTTCAGTGACAGTAAATAACAGCTTCTTCCAGTCTTCCAGGCCCCTGCCAGGTTAACCCTGCTCCTCTGGGTTCACCTATTCTCTGAGTTGTGCAACGTGGCAGAGGTCCAGCGCTTGTGTAATAACAGGGGCCTTGGCTGACTGAAAGAGCGCCAGTTCAGCCAGTCATCCTTTCGTATCCGCGGGTTAATGGAGGAAAACAAAGTCTTGCCCAATTAAAGCCTAATCCCGAGTCTCTGGAGTGTGTGCATCAGTCATCGTCACATGGACGTTCGCTCGAGGTTTTCTGCTGGAAAATAGTTTGGATCTCGACCATTAAGGACAAAGTATTTTATCTGAATCCAAACTGAGAGTTTAAGGATAGTTGGGCTTAGCTTTTTTTTTCTTTTTTAACAAATTACACAAAGGTCCTTTGAAGCAAATATGTGATTTGCAGCTTCAAAACCCATCTTGACTTGAAATCTGACTGCCCACTTTGTTTAACCCCTTCCACCCTGGAGGTCCCTGCACCAGGACCAAGTCAAATCTGCTTTAAAAATCCATCCACCAACATTTTGCAAGAGTCTACCTGGCACCATTATGACTAAAATGAATGCAGGATTTGTTGTTTCTCAGTTCTGTTGCGTAAAAATGGGTAGAGTTGCAGATGACAACTTGGAGAACAAGTTCAACCACGACGTTGGTATTCACTCTCTGTAGTTTTGATGAAGCGGATGTCAAAATGTCAGTTTAGATGGAGTTTTTCAAATCTCATTCCCACAGTTGTGGAGCTGTTGCTGACTGAATTCTGATGGTTTTTCTAGAAAATGGAGCGAAAGCAGTTATGTTCTGGGGGGGAAGTAAACCCTTTTCAACAGACAGCGCTGTAGGTTTATACATACTTTGCACTTTCAAGGTCCTTGCTAACTTTCCTTGTAAATAAAGTTTAGGCTAAACCCCAAAGATTGCATCCTCAAGGTCTGACATATGTTTCTGTCCTTGCAGAGCAGTTTTTTTTCTTCATTTGATACCTGAATTGTATACATTCATATGTACAAGCTTGCAGGCTAACACTTTGTTTGCACACTAGTGACACACTAACGTTGCTGCACCTTGTGGATCACCTGAATAGCTTCAGACTGTATATAAAGATAGACACGACCTCTGGATTTTAAAAGTTAAGCCTATGTGGATTCCCTTAAATGTGCAGGAAGCAAAAACTGGTTGCAAAAAGAAGCCTGACTACATTGAAGTCTGTGAGAAAATGAGCTTATTTCTCACCTGATTTATTAATTAAGTAAATGTTTGCGTCATGACTTTATGGTCTCAATAGCTAATTTTATGTTTTCTTTCCTACAGCATGATGTTTATTGTATAAACTATGATCCTATTTATAGTAAAATGTACAATAAAGCGCAGTATGCTTTAGAACATGGCTACCTTGTGATTGACAGTCCACTAGCATATGGATTTGATTCATGTCCTTGAGTCAGAAAACCAAGATGCCAACTGCCCGATGCCAAACTTGAGGCTTTAAGACGGCATTCCTCAAACCGATGGCTAACGTCATGCTGGCTACGTCCATCTTTTATATACAGCCTGTGATTATCATGCTATACAGAAAGCTAGAAAAAGATGTACTAAATACATAGTGTGTCAAATGCAGTATGCCAGAAATACCAAGATGTCCGACTATATTACATCGCAGTTTTGCAGCATGCAAGCCGGCGTGCTTTTTCCGGCCGTTCTGACCCACAATCCGCGTCACATATGTCTTGCAAAAGCATGAGCAAGCCCGAGCCGCTGAGAGCCCATTTCACAGTAAAGGCTGCGACAGATATATGAGCAAGACTGTAAAAGTTTAAGGTGCAACATTATGATGAAGTAGTATGTTCCATCTGGATGCGGATTGCATGCAACAGTTTGTACTTTTAAAGGGCAACTGTACTATGTGCTGAAAGTAAAAAGCTGTTTTAAAAAAGTTTGTTGCAGCCATTTCATGTATGAAATTTACCATTTTTATTCATTTGTAACTTCCCGTTGTGCGATACTGACATGGAGAGCTGAATGTAATCTGTGTAAAATAGCTCCATCGGGACCCACACTGACTTCACAAACCAGCTCAAGGAAGAGTTTCTTTTTTTTTATGAAACATGGGCTCAATATGGCTCAAAAAGGGGAACATGTGGTGGGCATTCTAAGCAGCTAGAATGCCTTTTGAAACCATCTGGGGGGCTTTCCTAATTAATCTTTATGACCACTTTGCACATACAAGGGCCTCCCCTCAGCATGCCGGACGCCCTGCTGGTATATCTGGACTTGAGCTGAGTCAATTACAGTACTTGTAGTGACGGGGAGCTTTTGAAAGGGATTGCTGCAGCGCTGTTTCAGATTGATGCTTTTACGGAGGGGAGGAAGAAAGAGGAGAGACTCTCCCAGTAAAATAAACCGCAAATAGTTCTTCTAGAAACGCTGCACCCTGCTGCTCGCTCTCAGCTTGTTGACACAACTGCTCGAGACAGATTGTTTTTCAAATATGCAACCGGTTGTCAAATATACAGTGTCAAATTAACTTCGGGGTTGCCTCCCAAAGGTCTGTGTTCACTGTGTTGCATTTGTTCATTTTCTTTGGGTCGTGTCCCAGAAGTGAAGGAGACCACAGACATGAAAATACCTATGTGAAGCGGAGCCCGACCGCATGGCCAGCTGGCTCAACTCACGGTCTGCGAGAGTGATTTTAAAATTACTCCCATCGTTGCTTATTAATTTTATGTAACGTCTTGTTTCGCATACATGATTAGTTGTCTGATTTCTGTCGGAAAACTGCTCGGGAGAATGACGCTATTTACCGAAAGAGTGGGTAAGATCTCCAGTGCTGACCCGTTCCCTTTTGACTCTTTGTGGATCAGCGCAGAATCCCAGTAATCCCAAGAAACACAGCTTTGCTTTAAGGGCCACCATTTTCTTTTACCCTCCGACATCCTTTTTGGAAATGTCCAAAAATGGAGAGGAGAGAGGAAAAAGGAGCACGGAGGGGTTTTCGAGGAAGGGGGAAGGGAGGGAAGAGGGGATCTGACAGGCTGTTCCGGCGATGAGACCCATGACTGACACATTTACTGTGGAACAAGACAAGTATGTGAATGTGTGAGGGAGATAGAGAGTGAAAGGACACGATAGAAATGAGGCCTCACACACACACACACAAACTGAAATGTTAGCAGATAGCATCTCTTTTTGTCAACTGAGAGAGGTCACGGGACCAAAGCTCCACTTCACTAATTTCATTCAATCCAGGCTGCGGAGGAATCTTGCAGGGTTGCACTCTTTCTCTTTTTTTTTACTGTGCGACTGCAAGCCTCGATACAGACACTGATTTGTCACTTTTTCCGTAATGAGCTCTCATTTGATCCTCTGCCATCAAAATGGCCTCCCGTCTGAGACAACTGTCACTGTTTATCCGCATTATGAAGATAACAGGGCCATCTTCTGTGGTTTGGCGGTGTCAGATGAGTTGAGTGTGGAGGAGATTGTCAGAGGAGAGGAGAATGATTCATTGTGTTGCTCTATAATTGAATGATCCAAGCATTCATCGTGGGCATGATGGTGAGATCATCCCCCACCATTAGACCTGTGGGCTTTGGAGCCGAGCTGCAGGACAGCAGCGTTGTGCACGGAGAGCGCCGCGCTGGCGGTTTTTTTTGCTTGTTAATTACAAATTCTTAATTCTTCTGCTGCGACTGTTTCTCATTTATTTCACTACAGTGTGAAAATCATTAAGCACAAACTTGCAAAACTTAACCAAAGCAGGTTTTTTAATCAACTTTTGTTGCATTCAGGGACACACAGAGCATTTGGCACGCACCTTGTGGCAACATTCATATTTATTTTTGTGTGCCATCTTAGTTTGATTTATAAAATACATAATTTTTGAAGCTCATTCGTCGCAGGAGCCAAGTCTCAAATCTTGGATGTCGAAAATGTAAAATATGTGGCACCGTTTCTGTACAGATTTCCACATACCACGCCTGCATTGCAATAACCCAGACTTTATGAAGTTTACTGGAACACAAATGGTACCCTTTGGAAGTAATTTAGACCTTGCATCATTTTAAAGAGCGCACATTAATCACATTTACAAATTAATTCTATTTTGGGGGTCTACTAGAATATGTTTACATGCTTTCATTTTCAAAATACAACCTTTTATTTTCATACTGTGCATTGCTGCAGCACCTCTTCCCACCTTTATTTTAGCTCCTGATGCTTTTAGGCATCACAAGACACTTCCAGAAGTCGTCTAAAATAACTAAATTCTCCACTTTGGTCGACACTTAACCAATAAAACATCTTGCATGCTTCTTTTTTTTGTAAAATTATGGCCTA